TCGTCTTATTCTGTTGGATTCTGGCGACAGGATCCGATGAGATCCGATAGTCAGAAATTGTCGGATTCGATGAAATCCGATGACATGAAAGCATCTAATTTTGCCTATTCTAATTTTTTATTTTTAGATTATTTCCAATGGTAAATCAAACAGTAAGTATTAATTTATTTAAATAATTTATATTTTTTATTTTTAGATTATTTTCAACGATAAATCAAAAACAGTAAGCATTTATTTATTAAAATAATTTTTATTTTTTATTTTAGATTATTTACAACGATAAATCGATAAATTAAACAGTAAGTTTTAATTTATTTAAATAATTATTATTTTTTATTTTTAGATTATTATCAACGATAAATCCAAAAGTAGGTATTTATTTATTTAAATAATTTATATTTTTTATTTTAGATTATATACAATGATAAATCAAAAAAAAGTAAGTATTTATTTATTAAAATAGCTTTTATTGTTTATTTTAGATTGTTTCCAAGGATACATCAAAAAGTAGGTATTAATGTATTTAAATAATTTTTGTTTTTTATTTTAGATTATTTACAACATTAAATCGAACGGGATGGCACTCATTAGTCTGACCGGATGGCCGAATTTTATTTTTATCATGCTGTTTCTATAATGTATCAGGTAATTATGATTTTTTTACCAGTTATAGTACTCGCATGGTGCGATAGAAGTACCATAACTGATAAAGAAATCATATTTACCTGATACATTATAGAAACAGCATGATAAAACAGGAATTCAGCCATCCAATCAGACTAATCAGCTCAATATATATTAAGTATTGAAAAATAAAAAGCTAATGAGTGCAGCATAGGTGCTGCACGTAATATCTGGTTTATCTATAGAAATCTAGTAGGATCCCGTCGGATCCTGTACTTTCCAAGATCTTCCGACTGTCGGATCCGACATCCGACAACTTTCGACTTGGTTCCGCTACCAAGGATTCTGACAGCTTCCGACAGGGATCCTGTCAGAAGTTGCCGGATTCCCGTCGGAATTTATCGGATTAAGCTAGATTTCCGACAGGATCCGGGACCCAGAATACTCGTCCTGAGCATCCATGTCGAATTAGAAAAAGATAGAAAAAAATTTATTTTTATATAATTTATAATTCGAAGAGTTGCTCATGTCCACCTAAGATGCTACGAGCATCACCTGAAATGCTTCATACATTCTATGGAAGGCTACAATAAGCATGTAAGAATTTTCAGCGATCTTGTGGCATTGAGTTGCAATAGCAATGTACACAGAGACGTGCATGGGTCGCGGCTCTTCAGGGAGCACTTCGCTCCCCTACGCCGCGACGCTGAAATAAAAAGTTTACTACGCGGGGCAAAACGTTTCTCAAATGAATGCAAAGTTCTAAGTTGAAACTTGAAAGTTGACAACTGAATTGAATTCAAGTTTTCACTTTTTCATATATATGTATTCGAATTTATAGATTATATAAAATTTAATCCTTTTCTAATTCGACTTGGGTGCCGTTTTTCATTTATTTTCGAAGTCCTAGTATTTAGTTGGCTCTTCATTTATATTCGAACTCGAATTAGACAGCTCATGTATACAACAATGGTACTTCAATGAATCAAATAATTTATCATTTTTCAATGATTGCACCAATAATAATGTGTATCAGATGATGAACAGTAGCACCAACTTGAATTATTGCTACCAACTTCATCTATATCATGTCAATGACTTGATCAATCTTTATCGGATTCGAATAGTTTACAACTTACTGATGAATTACTTGATCGATGATCCACCAATCATCAGATAACTCGTAAGCAAGTTCAAGAACATATCAATCAAGAGAAATATTTTCATTAAATTACGTGCTTCCAAGATTTGATAAAGTTTTTAAAGAATTTGCTGAAGACCCATTATCAACAGGCTTTGGAGCATGATGCAGAAAGAAACAACAATTAGTTAAAACTATTCATTATGATATAGTCAATACTTGGAGTATTGGTTTTTATGCAACAGCATTTAAGTTCGATCAAATGGTAGTCAACGTCCAAAATATATATCAAGCACTTGGTATACTATTCAGTGAAGATAGGGTATGTTTGATAGAAGATTAAATACTTTTTCTTTCATCTGTACGTAATTTTTATCTCATTTAGAGATGCTTAGCACGAACGCTAGAAAGCAATTCTCTTATGATCGGCAAGTATTGACTTCTTCGTCTGAACTATTGATGAAAAATTGGTAATCACATGGCCATCAAACGTCAAGACAGAAAATGAAATTTGTGGAGGATTGACTATATATTTCGTCGAGTGAGACGCAAACTATTATGTTATGTTCTTTGAATTTTTTGTTTTTCAGAAATATTTGAATGAAGAAAAAAAATAGTCAGAAGAACCCTTGATGCAATTATGTCAACAAGCCGACCGATATGTTTTTGAGTTAGTACAATAAACTCTAATTATGATCAAGTTAAAGTTTAAATGAATATTGCACATGTACATCGTCAACATCTTGTTGAAGAAATTAAACCAATTAAAGAAATTATCCAATTATATCCAGCTTTGTCGTTTAGCAATTTAGTAAATTCTACAGCGTATATTTTTTTGGATCGGCTCCTGAATTATGGAAATATTGTGGAGTTGGAATAATTTGTTTAAAAAGCTCACATAATTTCAATATCACATACATATTTATTTCACTCCGTTGTTTTTACAAACAGCTGATTTATGAAATTAATGTTCGTACTCAACCATTTAGTGGAAATGTTATTCAAGCATTAAAATCTAGCTGTGTAAAACTAGTCAGATATCTGGATCAACGAAGAAAAGAATATATTACTGAGAGTAATATATTTTATTAATCTTTGTACAGCATTCTCTTTATTTTAGAAGAACAACATATTTTCGTATTAGAGCATTTGATTAGGGAACGTGACGAACACTGGAAAACTGTTGTTAAATCATGTGAGTAATCTATTGACTTGTGAAAAATTATTGTATAATTCTCATGGTCGGCTTTTGTTATCTTTTATTGTAAGAAATAATTGATACTTAGCTAATGATATAAATACAAACAATTAACAATATTAATACTTATTCTATTGTTATTGAATGCAATACCCATATAACGATGAATTCACAAGTTGAAGCTATGACTGTTATAACTGGATCATATGTATGAAATATTGAATAAAGCATATCCAGTAAAGGTGCGAGCAACATCAGAGATGCTGAATGATTTTTCATTGAAGAAACCCTTATTTTGCTTAACATTGGCAGCTGAATGATTTTTAAATGAACCTAAATTGAATTATTATATATTATGAAGATACATTTTCTAGGTATAATGGCATGTAAGATAGAAACTTTTCAAACCGGTAGCTAGTTTATTTTGTACATTTTTGGATATTTTTCTTAATTTTTTTGAAATTAACTTTTTTGTTATTACTATTGTTCGTAATCTTCTAGCTGTGTTTTTCTCTTCAGATCGTAACTATTATTTTTTGGTATTATGTTTCGAAGGCGAAATAAAATAAATAAAAAAATTGTCATCAAATGAAAACTAATTTCTCAATTTCCTAAAAAATGCTTCAAGCGCTAAATACAATGTTCAATTCTAGAAAAGCCCATACAAAATCGCTTTCGCTTTTCTAATTAGAGGATGGGATTTTTTATTTCTATTTTGTTGAATGTCGTATTTTCAAGAAAGTAGAAATTTATTGATGAATTAGTATGGCATTCCTAATTATCTTGTTTCTTTCTCTATAAAATTTTCCGACTTTACTGTGTATATATTTACAGAGACATATGACCTATGTAAAAACAAATTACTCAAAATTAGATTAAAATCGATGATTTTTGAATTAGTTAATCTATTATAATGGCACTATTTTAATCTGATTAAAACCAGATTTTTCAGCATTGAAACAAAAGATTATTTTGATTTTAATCTTTTTTAATCCATTCTAATCAATTACCAAAATTTAATCTCTTAAACGAAATAAAAATATAAAAAAGATGAGAACAGCTAATGTTATTTTATCCACCACGTGATATTTCTGTATCTATTCTCAGACACCATCATCAGACGTAACCAATTCCATTTATATCAGATTCAAAGAAAAAATTCAATAAATTCTGATATATTGATAATGTATAAGCACATTTTAAATAATTGAAAAAGTTGATTAATATAAATCAACTTAAAAGAAACAGGTCCATTATTGTATTGCTGTATCAATGTAATAACAAATATTGAAAATAAATGGACAATTCATATAAACGAAATAAAAATATAAAAAAGATGAGAACGGCTAATGTTATTTTATCCACCACGTGATATTTCGGTATCTATTTTCAGACACAATCATCAGACGTAACAAGAAAAAACAATTTCATTTATATCAGATTTAGAGAAAATAATACAATAACATTAGCTGTTCTCATCTTTTTTATATTTTTATTTCGTTTATATGAATTGTCCATTTATTTTTAATATTTATTATTACATTGATACAGCAATATAATAATGGACCTGTTTCTTTTAAGTTGATTCATATTAATCAACTTTTTCAATTATTTTAAATGTGCTTATACATTATCAATATACAGTAAAACCTCTATAATGAACACCTCTCGATAGTGAACAACTCCTTATTCTGAACACTCTCAGGTCCGACGGAGCGATTTTTGCTGGAAATGCACCTCTCGATTGTGAACACCTCTTTATTCTGAACATGAACACTTCTTTCCCACTCCCTCTAACTACTATAACCTCTCTAATGTGAACATATGTACATGTTTATTTTTCTCTCTCTGTTACGTAATGCTCCACTTCTTTTACGTCTGTTCTGAATAAGAAGGTCATTGTCTCAATTCGTCTTATTGTTCATTTTCTAAACAGACGAAGAAGACTCTCAATTTTTTTCTAGTTCGCCTAATTATCTCTCTCCTATATATAAGTTCTGTTTTTCTAATAAACGCAGTCAAATATTCATTTAAAAAATGTCAATACGACATGATCTTACTTTGCAACAGAAAATTGAATTAATCAATGATAACAGGAATGGTAATGGTTTATCTCAACGTACATTGGCTGTAAAATATAATATTTCGCTTGGTTCTGTATCAAATGTATTAAAACGTAAGGCAGAATATTTGGATGATTATGGAGCAAATCAGAATCACAATGTTAAACGAAAAATAATTCATGTTAATTCACGAGAACTCGATGAAAAAGTATATGAATGATTTGTACAACAGCGTTCAAAAAACATTCCAATATCAGGACCGATTTTACAAGAAAAAGCACGCGAAGTAGCTGAATCATTAGGTGATAAGATGGGTTCATTTAAAGCATCGAATGGCTGGTTAGAAAAATTTAGAATAAGACACAACATTTCATTTCGTGTTATTAGCGGTGAAAGTTTATCTGTTGATATTACAACTGCTGATGATTGGGTTCAACGAATACCAAAAATTATTGATGATTATGATCCAAAGGATATATTTAATTGTGATGAAACAGGGTTATTTTTTAAATTTATGCCTGATAAATCATTAACATTAAATAGAGAACAATGTAAAGGTGGTAAAAAATCAAAAGAACGCTATACTATTTTATTTTGTGTTAATTCAACTGGTGAAGAAAAATTAAAACCACTTGTAATTGGTGTGTATGCTCTTTAAATATCCTTAACTATTTTGAAATACTTTAAATACTTAATAAACTTTGTTTTTGTTCTGCATTTTAGCTAAAAGTTTAAAACCACGATGTTTTAAAAATTTAAATGTTAGTAAACTTCCAATAAATTGGCGAGCAAATAAAACAGCATGGATGAATGTTAAGTTGTTTAGCGAATGGCTATCGGATTTAAACGTATCAATGAAAAAGCAAAAAAGAAAAATAATATTATTTCTTGATAATGCACCATGTCATCCGGTTGATATCGAATTATCAAATATAAAATTACAATATTTTCCACCAAATACCACATCAAAACTTCAACCATTAGATCAAGGTATTATACACGCATTTAAAACACATTATCGTAAACATTTAGTTAAACATATAATAGCACGTTGTACAACAGCTCAAACACCAGATGATATTAAAATTACACATTTAGATGCTATTTACTGGATTGATGCAGCATGGAAAGCTGTTACGCATACAACAATACGAAATACATTTCGTGTAGCTGGTTTTAAAGATAAACAACATGATGATATAACAACAGCAACATCTAATGATACAGAAACATCATCAACAGATAGCACAAAATCAACGGATGATGAACCATATAAAGATTTAAAAAAATTAGATGATCTATTAGAACATGTCACAATTGGTGGTCAAACAATGAACGCAGCTGATTTTGTTGACATAGATAATGATACACCCGCATACAACGAATGGTTTGATCAGTGTGAACAACTTGTATTATGTGACGTTAAAGGACAAGATGATGATTACGATGATGATGATCAAATATTAACAGAATCACCACCAAAATTAACGGAAGCAATGACAATGATACGAAAACTTCATTTACTAGCAACAACACAACAACCACAATTACATCAATTAATTAATGAATTAGAATCAAAGTTAACTGATGTTTATATTAATTCAAAAACAAAAAGACAAACGACACTAGAAGACTTTTTTAAACAAAACTAAACTTTGTCTTGTATCTATAAATTTTTCAACTACAAAACATTTAAATAAAAATAAGTGAGTAAAAGAATAAATAGCTCTTGTTTAACTCTAGACTAATGTAGCAGGACACATTCGGGATTTTTTCTTCATTTCTCAGCAAAATATACATCACCTCTCGAAAGTGAACACCTCCCTATAGTGAACACTTTTGAAAAGTCCCAATGTGTTCACATTAGAGAGGTTTTACTGTATTAGAATTTATTGAATTTTTTCTTTGAATCTGATATAAATGGAATTGGTTACGTCTGATGATGGTGTCTGAGAATAGATACCGAAATATCACGTGGTGGATAAAATAACATTAGCTGTTCTCATCTTTTTTATATTTTTATTTCGTTTATATGAATTGTCCATTTATTTTCAATATTTAATCTCTTAAAACTGATTGTCAATTTTGTGGAACTCACGTATATTTTCGAAGAAAATAGTGAGTGTAAGTTTTGAGTTCGAGATTTTGCGGCTCCCCCCCCC